CTTGAAGGCTAAGAAGTGTGTGGTCAATACGTTATAGTCACTGAAGAATTATGGGCAAACCAAAAGACTAGTTTAAATATCATCTACCAAATGGACACAGATTTGATCAATTAAAAAAACACTCTTGAGCAAATTGTCTTTAAAGAATGACTCTTACAAATGGGAGTTGTGTCAGGATTTGTTTAAGCTCTGAAGTGATTTCAGCACCTGGGAAGTGAACAGCTACAGCGTGTTTGTTAATGCTCCCGCCTTGAGAACTTCTAATAACCTGACGCGCTCTCCTTACGTGCCCGTGCAGTGAATGATGTCATGAAAAGGCTGCTGATTGCTGCCGTTGTGTCAGGAGAGACGCACAGCTTGGTCAGCTGAATAAATGATCGTCGTCTGTGGCAGAGCTGCATACCAAGCAGCAGCAGCAGCTGAAGGTTCACCGCGGAGCTCAGGAAGAGTGACATTCCCAGAAAAATGAATCAGACGCACAACTGATGATTAGCTCCTCCGACCAGGCAGCTGCCATTTTGAAAGGATACGTTCAAGAGGTTCTCCTTGCTCCAGATTTGAACGCCTCCCAACGCCACTCGTTCCTCCTGAGGCGTTGCACACGCGTTGCAGCCTTTAGGGTCATGTGTCTTATTCAGACAAGCCAAGGTCTTGGCAGCCACAGGCAGCGAGAGGAGGGGGAGTGGTGTGAGAGGTGTGTGTGGTGGAGGCTTCAGGTTCAGGGTGGATGTACTGTTACCCATGCTACGGTCAGAGAAACTCACCTGAGGCTGCCACAGTCTCATATGACCCATCGCTTCTGCCTCTGAAACCCACTGATCCATCCATAACTACTAGTAGCCATGGTGTATTGATCCCCCCCACCCCCCCAAAAAAGAAACTTGGCACAGACAGAAGGGGTGACATTTTGGAGATATCACGAGATTTCCCAGCAGCATGTGACCGTGAGTATTAAAGAAAAGAGGCTTTTCAATGAAGGGGTGTGGCAGCAGGATGGCAGCCATCCCACCATGTCTCCAACAAATCATGACCCTGCGCTGCTCCACATGCTGCTTTCAACGCACGAGCCTCAACCACACACCGTGCAACGTTCAAGTGACTCGTACTGCGTGGGAGAAAATCAATTAAAAGTTGGGCATTACAGGTGCGATGGGTTAAATGCAGAGAACTCATTCCGCCATTGTATGGGAACATACATGGCAACCCATATCACTTATTATTATTATTATTATTATTATTATTATTATTATTATAGTGGCAGCTTGACTGACATGGAAACATGGCGGAGGCTGTGGTCAGTAACTCTTCACGCTTCTTTCACTTCGAGTCCACATTCATTTTATTTAAACACTCCCCCCTAAATATTAAAAATTAAATACAATAAAAACTCTTCCGGCGACCCTGGTGCTGGAGGGGGGTGGACAACAACTGCGCTCTTCTGAAGCAGCATCACAAGTTAACGAGGTCTGCTGCTGTGGGGGAGAAGAAGAAGATGGGCACCGGACTAAGCCGATTAGCGGACAGTGAACCTACCTTCAGGTCCTCTCTGGGGCATTTCAGGCGCGCGAGCTTCGGGGAGATGCTCGTTAGCGGACAGTCCGTTCGTCCGGCTGCCTTAAAGCGCTAAAATATCCTGCGCCGTGCGGGGAAACGTCCGAGAGCGCCGGACAGTCTGTCGGTGTGCCAGCAACCGCCGTGGTTCGGCGTGTGCGCGTGCGTGCATGCGTTTGTGTGTAAATGGTGGGAGTGGGACAAAAAGGAAACACGTCATCATTAATGGCCCTTGCGGTTTGTAGTCCGAGGTGGGACTATTAATTATGTCCGGAAATTGGTGAAAATATCCAATTAAAAAATAAATAAAATTTTAAAAAAAAGGTTTGTAAACTTAATCATCCAGGTAGATAAAAAAAATAAAAAAAAAGTTTAATCACCTCACTTAAAGAAACTTGTCTAGATGACATGATTTAACCTTTTTTTAAAAAAAATTATATCCAAGTAAATGCTTTAAAACAGGAGAAAAAGGTTTCAGGGACTCCCTCATAAAGCTTTATTAAATAATTTTCTTCAGTTTGCCTGTTTAATGAAATGTAAATATTTGTGTAACATAAATACTTAAGAGCTGTTCTTTAATAGTGTTAATACAATTTTTATACTTTTAAACATAGGGTATTTTTCAGTCAAGGTACAATTAATTAACAAGATTTTTAATTTCCACTTCCAAAAATTACAGTTTTGAGAAAATTCACAGTATCAAAAACCACTTTAAAACTTTACCTATTCACATAATGACCATAATAAATGTATTGCCACTTCTTCAAATTATTACAGAAAACTTTTTACATGAAACTGAACAGAATCATAACAGCAGTAGTCATTCCAAGTAACAGGGTTTAATTTGTAAAATGATCGATGTCGGGATGTAAATAACGGGCAGGGTGGTGCAGGAGGTCTGGGGGTCCTCCTTCAGAAATTTAGAATAAAGTAGATGTGATTTCCTGCATTTTGTGTGTATTTTAACAGGTTGTTACACATCTATGTGCTTGTAATTTTCTTCTTTTTTTTTTTTTTGTAGACCACCAAGCATCGGCTCGTGGGCCCCCGTGTTCAGAGACCTCAGTTTGAGAACCACTGCTTGAAAAGATGTACATACTTTGTTTATTTACTTGGCTGTTTTAATTTGATATCAGAGGCGTTCATGTCTTATAAATGATGATGATTATTGATTGATGGTTTATTTCATACTTTTTATTGTTTATTGACAGTTGTTAATACAATAGTTTATTGTATACTATATTTATATTTTATTGTTTTGCCTATCTGTATCGTTTCCCTTCCCTTGACCAACCCTACACTGTTGGTGCTGCCAGGCCAGCACTGTAAATAAGAATTTGTTCTTAGTGTTTATGCCTTATTAAATAAAGGTGAAATGAAAAATGAAAATGCTGATGTGTTGATCTGAAAAATTTTCTTTACATGTGTTTGAACACATACAGATGGTGTTTAGACTACACTGCCTGGATAATATAGGCTGTGAAAGGATTGATGATAGATTACTGACCCAGTCTGAACAATCCAACTAATAGCTCTTGTTGCTCTTTCAGTTAAACAGACCAGCATGTAAAGGATCATTCTGGTTTTTAGCTTTTCATTTATTTACTGGAGGCTAAGAAAAAATAAAGGAAAAATCCACCTAATACTTGTAAAAGTTATATTGTGGACCACGGCTTGATTCCAAAGGAGCTGTAAAACAGAAAATTGAGCCTTTGTGTGCCACTTTTAAACAGTGACAGATGAACACAACATTTTCTCTTTACCACGCATGAGTACAAACACTACTCAAGCACCAAACCCTGCCCAAACAGCCCTCTGAACACAAATATGCATGCATTTGTGAGCTAATAACAAAACCAGATTGATTTTCTTGCTAAAAATGAGAACTCAAGCTGTGTGGTAATCCTATTATTTATTTTTAATATAAATGACGTTCTCTCCCACTGATGACATCATATGACTTTATGAGACTCCATAACATTTTTTTCACTATAAAGTTGAACAATGTTACTCCTCATTCAGCTGTTTAATGTGTTTTGCTGCAGCATGTCCTGCTATCAGTCTCGTACAAACCATTTTAGCTCCCGATCCTCCAAGAACCCTCTTCCTTTGGTCAACTTATTCATGAACAGGATGCAAAAAGCTTAACAAACGGCTAAAATATCATATAAAGTCAGGTTTTATGTTTGTGTGGCAAACTTGGGTTACAAATAAAAATGTTAAGTCACTTTAGGATTAATTTGGTGGGAGGACAAACTCCTTGTGGTTTAGACTGTTTTATATTTTTCAGTGTAAATATGTCACGAGCAAGGAAAAAGTAACTTAAAGCAGGATAAATGATTAAGTGCATGCGTTTTCCACTTTGTACTAAATTCATAGCTTTTGAATTACATTTGTAGGGGTCAGTTAGGTTGAATGAGGTTAAAAATATGAGCTGAGGGATTGGAGGCAGTTGCTGCACGTGCTAAAATTAGAGACTGGGTCTGTGTTGTCAGGGTACAGTTGCATCCTGATGCCATCTTGAACAAGGAGTGGTCAGAGCTTAAGGATGTTGCAGCTGGTCCAGGATAACCACTGCTACAGTAAATTCCACACATTCATATCATATGGGAGCCCCTCACTGAACTGTTAACATGGTCTGGCCCTCTGCTGCTACTGTGATCTCAACACTAAAACACTCCCAACAGGTCTTTAGTATTAGTTTTTTAAATTGTATTTATTTATTTTTTTAATAAAACGATACTCCTTCAAGTCAAACTAATTTAATTTGTAGTTTGCTGTCACAAATTAGATACTTAAATTTTTTTTAAATATTTATTTCAATGTGATATTTTGTTTCAAGTGTTAAAAACACGGAAATGGCCTTTTGTTGCCTATCAAACTAGGTTTAGACTGTTTAAGTGGAGTCATATTAAATTGCAGCTCCTTTTTGATGAAACTATTTTAGACTCAAACCTCCAACACAAGAAAAGCAAGTGAGCTCGTTTAAAATGTCAAAACCGTTAAATACAAAACTACTCTCAAATAAACGGACAAATGTCGCCACCATGTGGCCAATAACCGGCATTACAGATTTTAAATTAAGCACATTTTCAAGTTTAAAAAATGGTAAGAAATAAAAATGGGCAAAACTGCAGACTTCACTATATATATTACTTTATTCAAAATTTGTCAAATTGGTAGATATTTTGCACTTTAAGTCTGAAATGCACATATTAACATTTTTATTCTGGCTGTATTTAAAAAAGTAATGCTAAAAAAAGTGGGTTATGATAGTCTACTCAGCAAATTATTTGTACTTGAACTTTTCAAGTCACAAATGTTTAATTGTTTATGTTATAAGTAAAGTAAACAACATTATCTGTATGTTGCTACTTTACAGTGTAGCTTTTAAAATGATAACACCCATAACATGGAATGATTTGTAAAGAAAACTAATTTAGCAAAACCTCATTTTATTCAACATGTACATCATGTGATGCAAAAGACAATAAAGTCACCTTGAACCTTGATACATATGCTTTGATATGAGCTTCTGCACAGCTCTTTTTTACATTTAGGTGAAAAATTAACAAGCACACAAGAGCTTACTCCTTCGGCTCCACTGTTTCAGGCTTTGGCTCTTGTATTTCAGATTTCAGCCCTGGCAAAGTAGTTCTCATCCGAGCAGCCTTCTCAATGTTCTGCACCTGCTCCACATCCCACGAGTGAGTGACAAAGCTGAGCACCTCTCCGTCTTCCACTCCTCCAGCTCTCCCCACTCTCCCTGCTCGGTGGATGTAGTCCGTTTGGGACTCTGGGAAGTCGTAGTTGACGATCAGTCGTACCCTGGAGGTGTCCAGGCCACGTGAAGCTATATCTGTGCAAACCAGCACGTTTGTTATGCCCTTCTGGAAGGAGCGGAAAATCCCTGCACGCACAACGGCGGGCATCTCTCCTTGCAGCCGAGCATGCTGGACCCCCATTTCGTCCAGTGTGTAGCCCAACCAGTTCACTGTGGCAGACTTGTTGCAGAACACGACAGCAGCGCCCCCTTTTTTGTGAAGTTGCAGCTCCTTCAGGGCTTGATTGAGCTCCAGGATTTTGTCTGAACCCTTTACCTTTAGGAATCTCTGCTTGACATGGGGCATGATGCAATGCAGCATCCTGCTCTTGATCGTCACAATCTTCCCGAGGTCTGTCATCTTGCTGAGCACTTCCCCAACATCTCCAGGGAAAGTTGCCCCCACAAGCAGCAGCTGGGTTTTACGATCCAGGCCCTGTGTTTCCTTGGGATGGTTTGCGATGTTTACATTCAGGAGGATGTCCTGCAGCATAGGAGAGAAGCTGGGGTCAAACATGGTGTCCGCCTCGTCTACGACGAAGAAGCTCAGCTCACTCAAGTCCAGATAATTCCTTCGCAGGGCCTTGACCAGGGCACCTGGTGTGGCCACTAAAATATCTGGATGGTCCTCCTTAAAGACTTGCTTAATGTGGCCTACACCTCGCCCACCACCCACAGACCTTGTGTGTAAACCAAACGGAGCACACACAGTCCTGGAGACCAATGTTATTTGCTCAGCTAGCTCTCTGGAAGGCACGAGAATCACAGCACCGATCTGGTTTGTTCTCTCTGTGTTTATTTCAGTCTGCCTCTCAGCCTGCAGCCTCTGAACAACAGGCAGCAGGTAGCTCAGCGTCTTCCCACTGCCAGTTTCTGCAGCACAGAGGATGTTGTGACCTTTCATGACCTTTGGGATGGTCTGCAGCTGCACAGTGGTGGGATGGGTAATCCCAATATTTTCCAAAGTGTCCTCCAGCTCCTTGCAGATGTGGAGGTCCTTAAACGTCACGGCTGATTTCTGGTGAGCATCCTCCTCCATCTTGTTGGCTGCCATGTATGGCGCTACATCCTTCGTGTTATTGATGGTGAAGTAGTCACCGAATGATTTACTGTGTTTCCAACCCTTTGAAGACAGAACAGACTGCTCGAACTTCCCCAGGATGTATCCCGCAGACTGGTTTAGACAAGGGTTCTTGCTCTGGATCAGGAGCTTGCCCGCTTTAATGGTGCTGATCTTGTTTGTGCCCCGAGTTTGCTTCACGTTTTCTACGCGAGTTGCCAGGTGTCGAGGGACACGAATGACCACCATGTCCTCTGCTTTTTCAGCCGTTTGACAAACGCGATTCACAGAAAGGTGCACGTGTCGGCATGAAGTCGCGTTGACGAGTTCGGGGTGCAGTCCGCTTGAGCCGAGGGTTTTGAGCCGAGCCGAAGCTAAACAGCCGAACTTTAGCGCCTGCATTTTGAAGCTGAAGTAAGTCGCCGCTGTCCTGTTGTCAGTCAACAAACAAACAAAACATGAAAAAAAAAACCGTACGGTTAAAAACACAAACGAGTCGTTAAAAGTCCTCCAGAAATACAGTAAAACGTCGTTAGCATTCTGCGCCACTAGACATCATAATCACCATGCTGTTAGGCGCTTGATGATGATGTCACAGGTGCGGAATAATGACGTGTATGAAACACAGTATTTAGCTCAAAGTCTTTATATGTTCAAGATAAACATTAATATAACAAAATATACACTTTAATTTTATTATTATTATTATTATTGTTGTTATTGTCGTTGTTACTATTATTACTATTATTTTGTTCTAGTTGTTGCTATTATTAGAAAATTCCAACATTTTAAAACTATAACTGATGTAAAAATTTTGAGAAAATAAAATGAAATGCGTAAAAGGTACACATTTATTTATATTTAAGCTGTTGACTAAAATTTGTGTTTTATACTGCTTATGAATTTGAATATTTAATGTTCCTTTTTTTTTTTTAATCAAATATAACTTAACATTAAATGAAATGTTTGAATCTCTTGACCCCCAGTTTAAAAAAATAAATACATAAAAAAAAGTTAATTTTTGTTTTCAGCCTTACCTGCAGGTGGAGTCAAATGTTGCCGGTTAGTTTTTGTGTTTTTTTATTTTTTATTATTATTTTCTTCAGGAAGATAAAAGTAGCTTTTGGATTTATAATACTTAGAGGACAGGCCTTTCCAAACTACTTCTTCATTGCAATATTTCTGTGCTGATTTCACAGCATTCTGTACAATGTTCTGTTGCAGAAAGCAAATCAATCAATCATTCATAAACTGTGATCATGTTGCATGTTTTATCTCACATTTTGTGTGTAAATTTCTATTCTGAATCAATCAGTTCACGTGCCTGGTGATTCAGCACTGCCTGCAGTACAGTCATGTCACATATTGTAATAGATTAGAGCAGGATGAAAAAATAGGACTGTCACTGACACAAGTGGCACTATCAATAAAAGCCCACATGACTTTGATTTGTGGTCAGTCCGCTTTATCAATGAAACACAAATTGCACAAATAAAACTCCAAAAAGCTGATATGTTTATTTATGTGACTGTTTTGACAAAATATAGAGAGGTATGTGTCTTTTAGCCATGTGCAAAAAGGTGTCCTAATAGTTTTCAATGGAGGAAAACACTAGCATGATGTTTTGCATGACTGTCTGAGTTCTTAAGGAGATAATCCAGCATTGTTGCTTTGCCTGCAGTGTGTAAGCTTATAAAAGGGAAGGCTAATCCTGCCAGGTATGCACCCATAAAGAGTCCAAGGTCAAACACAGCTCTTTACTCTTTGCTTTCCTTCTAAATCTCTGGTGTTTTCTTCAGAAATTAGAAAAAAAAGTAATTCTAATAAAAAAAAAGAGCACTGTTTGTGAAAAATATGAAATTTAGTTTCAGTACACACAAAATAAAATCACTTCTTTACATCTGTGCTGCTGTCACATGTATTGATTGAACGTCAGCTACCCTGAATGAATCAGCTCACTGATTGATTTGATGAAGCTTCAGAATGTGCTCTCAGTATTTGATTTACTCTCACATGTCGGCCGTAGTTTTCTGACAGCCAGAATCACCACAACTCTGTCTGCTGCTTCTCACCAAGGCAAGGAAGACTCAAGACAGGTGTTCGATGGATTAAAATGTAGATTAGGGAGAAAAAAAATAGTATGCAATGATTTACAAAACATTTTGAACAAATACATTGTTCTTGTTGAATTAGATGATAGCAAAGCTGAAACCATGCTAGTGTTACTAAAAAAGTTAAATCTGGAGCATGCATATTGAGCATGCATCTGGACATGTTAGTGTTACATTTCTTTCTCTGGGTGATTTCATGCTGTAAGTTTTAAGAACACGACCAATTGCTGCACTTTTTTTCCTCAAAAAAAAAAAACGTTCTTCCATCTTTGAGTTTTCCGAAGTGTTTCTTGGTTCATGCAGTACTTTCAGTGATAAAATATTTTTAATCTACTTGTATCAATTTAGAACAAAGTAATTGTATGCTGGTGTATTGCTCTACTTTGCGATTTTTATTGTCCTCAGCAGTAAAGAAGTAGAAAAAAACACTCCACAGCCACCTTTACCTTTCCCAGCCTCACATACACCACCTTTCCTCAGAAAAGCATCCTTCAAAATCTCTGCAGCACAACCACACCGCCATTCAGTGCCAACTAGTATTTCACATCTTCGTTGTTAAAGTGCACAGAATACCAGTTTTACACAATTAGTGGTTCCAGCAAGTCGAAATGCTGCTCAAATGAAATGCAAAGAAACTGAAACGTGCCCCTGGTTCTTATGCAAAACAACAAGCTCAAGGTCAAGGTTCTTTATTTGTCATACGCACCACATGTGGTACTTGAGGTGGAACAAAACTATGTACACAGGGTCCCAGTTACATCCAGCAAAAGTATAAATTGTAAAGAAAAACATTAATAAGATCTAAGATATGAACTAAGAAATACGCTAAACTAAGAATACACAAAGAACTAATAGTACAAAAACAATACGCCGAACAACAGCAGCATGAACATGATGAGTCTGTGTGAGCAGATGAGTATGAATGAACACAGCAGCATGAAATAAATAATCAGATCAGCTGATCTGATCAACCTAATGTAGACATGGAGGATATGAGCTAAAAGAAAGTATATTATTACATGTTCCGTTAAAAACATGCACGTCAGACTGCCTTCAGGCTCAAGAGATCTGTGGTCTCAATAGGATTTACCAGGTTAAATAAAGGTTAATAAATAAATAAAATAATGTTTGAACTACATGATATATTTTACAAACTTAACATGTTTCTGTGTACAACAAAGTCCATGCTCATTAATCCAGGTATACAATCCAACATTTTTCAGTCAGGTCATCTGGATAGTTTCTTTGTTTTGTGCTGAAACGTTTCGCCTTCGATCCGGAAGGCTTCATCAGTCAAGGAAACACACAACAAAACTGATTCTTCCACCAACAGCTTACTCCAAAGTGGAACAAACCAGTTCTGCTTGTGATAAGATGGTCTCTTTGTTACGCCCCTCTTCCATTGCCGGCCCTCTTCCTTGTTGACAGTCTTGTCAAACTGGTTGAAAACAGCAAAGTCCATGCTCAATAATCCAGGTATACAAGCCAACATTTTTCAGTCAGGTGATCTGGACAGTTTCTGTGTTTTGTGCTGAAACGTTTCGCCTTCGATCCGGAAGGCTTCATCAGTCAAGGAAACACACAACAAAACTGCTTTCCTTGACTGATGAAGCCTTCCAGGTCAAAGGCGAAATGTTTCAGCACAAAACAAAGAAACTGTCCAGATGACTTGGCTGAAAAATGTTGGGATGTTTCTGTGTAGTTTTTGATTAGTATATAATGTGGGTATCCATCCATTCATTCATCCATCAACTTTACCCGCTTCTTCCTTTTTCGGGTCGCAGGGGTCACTGGTGACCATGTCCAGTCATCACTGTACAAGAGGCTGGGGACACCCTGGACAGGTCTCCAGTCCATCACAGGGACACATAGAGACAAACTCACTCACACCTAGGGACAATTTAGAGTTACCAGTCAGCTTAACATGCATGTTTTTGGTCTGTGCGAGGAAACCGGAGTACCTGGAGAAAACCCACGCATGCACGGAGAGAACATACAAACTCCACCCAGAAAGGTCACCGGACCGGGATTTGACCCAGGATAACCTGCTCGCTGAGAGGCAGCAGCTCTACCAACTGCACCACCGTGCTGCCTTTAATGTGGACAATTTGCATAATTATCCATGTAGGTTATATACTATACTGCAGAAAACATGTATAATTCATTTACCTCACAATTAATTATAAACAATCTTATCACCGTTTTAAACTGGCCCAATTCTCACTGCATGCAGGGTTTTAGTGCCTGTTGAGTGGTCTACCTCTGTAAATGTTCACTTCCACAGACTGAACAAAAGAGGGCAGCATCAAACATAAAGGAAGATTTCACCCAAGAAGTCCCCAGAAATCAAAACAATTGTTTTCTTTACACACACAACTTGTGCACATATAGATAAGTTGTGCAATGTTTCTTTCATACTTTACTGTAAAATCTTTACTCAACAAGCTTTTGAGTTTAAAAGAAACTGTATAAAATACACACATACATTTGGGGGTGGGGGAAAGCATGTCATATGTTGCACAACTGTCACGTCTGTGAGTGTATCATCTTATTTCGGTTGTTGCAGAATTTGATATTCGTTGACATTTAGCGAGCATTGCACGGTGGTGCTGCGTTGCAGTTGTGCACTGAGTGCAAGCACAGATCCTTGAAAGAGTGACACCTCTGAAACAGGACCAGTGTGGGGGCAGACAGTGCATGTGCTTCGTTCTTTCTTTTTTTCCTTAGTAACTTTCTTTTACAAGAACATAATATCACAAACCACATCTACAGCCTCCCACACAATTTGTTTTCTTTATCTTCTGCTCTCAAAGGTCATCTGCGGAGATAAGAGCTGCAGGTAACCTAAATTAGACCGAGGAGGAGACATGCTTACTACACAGGAGAAAGTTCACTCAGTAATCTAATAGTAATATTTTTACAAACAAAAGTCTTTCTTTTTTCTTAAAGGAAAAAAAAAAGACTTTTGGATTACTTCAACAACAGTCTTTGCATTATTTTGTTTTATTATGTAAAATACCATAATAAAGTTGTTTTAATTTATTACTTTATGTCTTTATGTATTCTTAAAATAATAATTAACTTAATTTATTATGTTCTCTTAACTATTTGTTCATTTAAGGAATTAAAAAAGTTACAACAGAAAATAAATTATAAGAAAAAAAACTATAATCTTTTTCTTAAACTTGTTTGAATTCTGTTATTTGCATCTTAATTAGGCCTATGAAAATGTTTAATTCACAAAAATAACAAAACTTCAACTTTGGCGTCATCACAATGACTTATTTTTCCTGAAACCTTTTCATTACTCACATAATTGTGCATAAACTAAAACCATTTCTAATATTTAATTTTGACTTATTTGAACAATGCAGAATAACTCATCATTTATTGTCTGTGATAGCAGGATAACAACAGGAAATCTGTTCAAGCTTATATTGAGTAGAGACAAGAAATTTACTGTTAATGGATAAAGCATGGACAATTTTGGAAAGAACTGATTTACAATACGGCATATAAACAAAAAAAATGAGTTGAAGTTTGTGCTTTTGCTTGGAAATTAAGACCACAGGAAATGTGATATTGATGCTTTCAGCTGCATTTGTGAGCTGAGCTGTTGTTTGTACGCCCACATACATCTATCATAGTATACATGATGAGTGCTAGTGTCAGAAAAATAAGAACGTGTCGACTTCAAAACCTTTAAGATCATGTTCCCTTGAGAAAACTGTTCATAAAAACCTTGGATAAGGTATTCAAATTTTTTAATCTTAGTGTAAAAACACTTATAGCTGACTTTCTGTGCACAGATGTTAAATTTTAGTGGTTTATTTGATAAAAAAATATATTGCTCTTTAACAGGTGGAATGAACAGCAGCTGCAGAGCATATTAAAAAATGTTTTATAACTATGTTTATCTGTGTTGCAAAAAGCTTTGGTGAAACATTAAAACCATGCATGATAAAGGCAGATCAATCACTTCCCTCTGTGTGCAAGGGGTTAAAAATGGTGGAGGCGTTGAAGCAAGAATTTGACCTAAAGTGTCAATTCTGCAAGACAAATCTATTGTGTATTAAAATTTAGTCAGGGAATAACTGATCAGAAGCACAAATGCTGTCGGTATTAAATGTCAAGCAAAGCATGCAACCCTTTACAGCTTGAAGGTGTATCACCCTCTGTGCTACTCACCTTATAAAGATTAACCCAAGGAGATTGACTGAGGAGAGGTACAGTGAAATGACCAATATACACCGGTTTACTATTATTTTGTTCAAGCAGTACTTTTGTTCCTGTACTATTTTATGTACAAAACATTACTGACAGAGAGAATGTGTAATCTGAGAACCTAATGTGCTCATAAAACAACAAATCATTGGTATGATAAATTGTTATTTCAACCTTTCAGCTCCGCTAAAATTACAAAATTACCGTATTTTCCAGCGTATAAGTTGCAGTTTTTTTGCATAGATTTGTCTTCTATGCTTTTTTTTCCCTCTTCTTGATGTTTTTTGACTCCGGAGCTACTTATACACCAAAAAATACAGTAGTATACTAATTTGGAAGCATTCAAAAAGCCTTTCTTTACCATGTAAATAATAGTCACAAATACAAAAATGTGCAAACTTTAGCAAATACAAACAAACAACAACAAAAAGCACAGATATAAACTGTAATGATATCGGGGAGTGGTGGTGCAGAGGTTAGAGCGGTCAAGCCTGTGATCAGAAGGTCGCCGGTTCGATTCCTTGGACCGACGACATCAAAAATGTGGGTAGGAAAGGTGAAGCACCCACACCTGCCTCCACACTCATTTGCCCCACTCTGAGCAAGGCCCTCAAGTAAACCCTCACCCTTTGTTCCTCCGGGCGCCCTAGCTGGCAGCTTTCTGCTCCACACAGAGGGCTGTGGTAGCTTGGTGGTTTGCGGTTGCGTCAGGAAGGGCATCCGGTGTAACAATAATTGCCAAGTCTTCGTGCGATTTAGTTCGCTGTGGCAACCCCTGAAGAAGGGAGAAGCCGAAAGAAGAAGAAGAAGAAAGAAAACAAACAGTATTAGAACTAATTTAGATTTGCTCAGATGTTTCATGCTTGTACCTTTTAAGGTTCTTGGAGCAAGTTGAGACTTGCTTTCACAAGAAAATCCTGAAGAACAATTGTATTTTAGGTTTATGGAGGATTATTTGCACACATTAAAGTTCCACTGTGCATTCCTTTGTCCAGCGTCACCAAAACCTCGCTCTCAGTTTTTGCAAAGCACAGAGAAAATTTCTCAAATGATCCCGGTGTTTTTCTTCATGTCCAGATGATTGCTGATCTACAAACGACTCCTTGACCTGGAAACATAAAATGCAAAACACTAAAGAACAATCCACAGTTTAGGTGGCTGGAAAATGTTATAAAAAGACATCTGCACGTTTATAACAATGCTTTAAAGCTCCAAAAGCTGGTTGGAAATTGAAAGTTTTTGCACAGACAGGCTCTAAAGGTAAAAAGTGCAGTGTCATATACAGTACCTACAGCTTGAAGTAAAACCATTAAAAGTTGAGGTCTAGTGCAGCACGATGGCTCAGTGGTTAGCACTGTTGCCTCACAGTAAGAAGGTCTTGGGTTCAATCCTTGGTTGACCTGGATGCATGTTCTTCTCATGCTTGCAGGTTCTCTGGTTTCCTCAAAAACATGCATGTTAGGCTGCCTTCAGGCCCCCCTTGCAAAAGAGATATGTGATCTCAATGGTTAAATAAAATAATCAATAAAATAATAATAATAACAAATCAGTTGGAGGGTTGTTGCACGAGAACGGAGAATCAATTAAACAGAGAAGAGGAGATTGTTTGAATGGGGTGTTGCTGCAAACTATTATGTGATCTGGTTTCCTTAAATGAAATAAAGCACTCACAACAAGGCTGTCAAAAAAAATCGAATATTTTTCAAGTTCAAGCAATTTCCAATGCAAATAAATTAATCATAATAACTTTTTTTTTAATTCACGCTTCATAATAAAACAAACCCGCTTCACGAAAGCGCCACATTTCGACCCGGTAATAATGTGACAGAACTCTGATCATTGTTTAGCTGCTGGAGCGCGCGCGTGCCCAGTGTTGTGTTGTGCTGACGTCACAGCTGCAACTGCCCTGTCACGAGGGGGTTAGTAAAAGTTGGGATAGGAGCTCCGGGCGGAGACAATCAGACAGGAGGAGGTCGAGTCAGCGGCACAATTTGACACAGGCACTTCAACCGGAATGAGCGTCTGAGGGTCCTCGTTGTTGAGACAGAGGGGACACAAGTGAGACGAAGAGCGGCTGAACGGGGACAGGGCGACTTTCTGTCAAGTTGAAGGCAGGACTGGCAGAGAGAGAGACAGAGGAAGAGCCTGCGACGGCTTGTGTGTGTTTTGGATTTGACTTTAACGACGAGAGAGAGAGAGAGAGAGGGAGGAGGAGTATTAGAGAGAGCGCGAGCGAATTCAATGAGCAAAAGTTGAAGTTTGGCGCCGTTTGGCAGCGAGTCAGTAAATGCGGCATTTTTAGGACGGCGCAAGTTGCTCCCCTGCGGTCGGTCGACGAAGTGGCGGGGTGAGACCCGAGCTGTCAAAGCCGATGACGACCGCAAACTGCCCCGGGAATGAGGAGCTGGACTTCAGACTGATCTTCGGGGAGGACGCGCAGCAGCAGCAGCAGCAGTTAGGCCCCGCAGGTCAGCGAGTTTCACCGTTTCCAGACTCCGCGCGCGCGTCTCTATGTGTGTGTGTGTGTGTGTGTTGTAAACTTTAAGCACAATATGTTGTAAGTTACTCATCAGCTAGCACTTTACCTGCTCTCATACATTACACAAACACACACACAAACAAAAACCAAACGACTTTGTGTGGTGAATTGTGAAGATATTTGGTCTTTAATCGAATAATTTGTATATAATTTCTGCAAAGGTCGTGAAGCTTCTGTTCAGACCTCCAGCTGTCATTAGCTTGACATGCTAAGTTAGCAGACTGCTATGGCTAGTTTGGAGTTTTAAGACGTGTAGTTTTCGCAACACACGCCGCGTTGCAACGCTGCAAAGGAGTTGATGAAGTTGGGGAGGTAAACACCCCCTCTCTCATATTTACAACATGTGCATGCATTCTTATTTTCAGTCAATCTCAATAAAATGGTGCAAATTAACATGATTTAGTGACATTATCCCCCCAAAACATATATTAAATATGCACAAGTGCTCAAACACTTAATTGCATTTTTTTTGTTTAAACACAAATTTTATTAACATGATTTTTACCTTATTCAGAACCTGTTTTTCCCCTCCATCAATCATGTTTTTGTATGTGCTGACACAGAGTATTAAATTTAGAGAAGTTTGCATACAGGAGAGTCAATACATCCTTGAAAACGATACAGATTTGGGCTTTTTGTTCACCTGTTGACCCGAATCTGCAGTTAAATCTGTTCAGTTCTGAATGGGCCGTCATCAGGAGTATTATAGTTGGGTTCATGTAGCTGTATGTGGTGTATGGTTGTGAAGGAACAGCTTGAATGTCACTAAAGCACATGTCTGCAAAGTAACACAGGCTTTTGTTGTCAAAACCTGAAAATAGTTTACAAAACACGGGGAAGTCAGAGCCAAAAATGGCGGTGTAATGTTTTTAAAACAATTGTATGTGGATTGCGTAACAGCAAACGTCTTTTCATTTTTATTCTGCTAAACATCTTTTTGCACAAAACGACCATCCTTTTAGACTTTAAACTACGGTGGAGTCATCTACAGAACTGCTTTCAAAATCCTCATCAACTAACTGGACACCCTTTGCCACACGGCCGTTCGATTTGTCACCGGAGTTCCCTTCAGCACTCGTCGCTGCGCCCTGTACTCCCTGGCGAACTGGCCTGGTTCGCTCCCACAGACAAACATACTGGTTTCTGTTGATCTATAAAACCCTAATGGATAAAACCCCATCATATCCTCTCATTACTCAACACCCATTTGCACTCCATTCCAGCAGCTACTTTATTCTACGTATCCTAATGCACACGCTTCCTTTGGTCGTTCCTTTTGTTTTCAGTGATCGGAACCATCTCACTTAGTCTTTTTAAAGTTAAGGGAGCACATCACTCTACAATGGTTGTGCCTGTTTTTAGAAATCTAACTTTCACATTAAGTTGTTGCATTCAATGATTTACAAATTTATTCTTATGCACACCTTAGGTCTGTATGATTTGTTGTTTGGTTGTGTGTATATGTTATCCTTCTGCTCTCTTACCCTTTAGATTTTGCTGCTTCTTGTCCAGGTCGTTATTGAAAATGAAAATTTGTTTTCAACTGATTAACCTGGTTAAATAAAGGTCCTGTATATATTATGCTCTGCAAAAAGATTTTCTACTAATTTTTAACTACGGTAAATAATTTCAGTGAACAAAAAGTTGTAAGATGTGCATTTATGCATGAAAGTGCAGACTTTTTAACAGTTAAAATAATGACACAGGACTCTAAAAAAGCAAATTGTGCTTTGGTGCGTTAACAATCAGAGACTTGCAGATTGGCTGCCTCGACGTGCATCTTTTAGGACTTAAAGTAACAAAAGTCAAGTAAAGTGATTTTCAGTGTATGATCAGAGTAAATGTAAGCAGTAAACTTGCACATTTATATTAGGAGGAGAAGGCATTTGTGAAGGTGAGGTGACCCACAGCATTATTATCATGGCAAACTCCAGGAAAAATCTTTCTGGGTTGTTTATCTTCTCTCTTCAGGTTGTATGCGTTTACCTTTCTTTGTTTTACAAAGAAATTATATATTAATCCTCTAAGAGAAAAATATACATATCAAATTTTCTTTAAGATATTTATATTAAAAACAAGCTTATTAAAGTTGTTCAGCTTTGTCAGTTTATTGTATTTTTTTACTTTTTGTAATATTAAAAACAATGTTGGGTTTTTTTGAAACACGCATACAGCTGAAGTTTATCTAAGATATAAACAGAATCTATAAATTGTCTGTTGCTGTGACAATGCAGCACCAAGACATGAAAATAGTCTTGCCGGACAGTCATCTCCAGTAACTTGAGATGAAGGCATTGCATTTACATAGCATGGCTTCTGACGCAAGTTTCACCTGTCATGTTGATGTGTTTTAGGCTATTCACGTCTTTTCAAAATGTTAGAAAACACATTAAATGATTAGGACAAGAGTTTAGACACAGTGCTTCTCATCATGACTACACAGTATGAGTTTCTTCCTAAAGATATGCATCAGTTACGTTCTTGAGCAAACTCAGCTGCCAGCTCTGGGAAATGTCAACTTTGACCCCCATTTCTCATTCAAACCTTAAAAAACAGGACAGACAATGAAGGCACAACAGTCCCGCCCTGCAGTGAAACTTAGATCCAAATTCTAGGCTATTTCAGGTGTATACCATACTACCTGTGATTCTTTGAGTTCAAATCCAAAGGGGATAGTGCAAAAATGGCTTAAACTTACATAAAAGTATTTTTTTTAATTTACCGTAATGTGGTTAACTTATCATTTCATAAAAGAGATATTAATTGATCATCACATGAACTGGGTTTTATAAGAAATTATTATAATTTTTTATTAAAAAAAATTATTATAGAAGTAGAAATAGATCAATTCAAGGATTCAATTTAAATTGATTTGTGTCTGTTTTGGTATTCTTAACATTTAGATCCGATTGAAACTCTAGGTATGTTAATATCATTGCCCATTTCGTTTATTCGCTGCAAAAGACACCTCATGCTTCGGTCAGAACAATAAGGAACACACCTAAACAATAAAACAATGATGTAATTTAACAAACAAACAAAAAGAAAAATAGAAGTACAGTTGGCACTTGCCTTGTTGCATGCAAGGTCACATGTCACAGGATTAAAATTTGAATATTCGTTGATCGTTTTATTTTTTAGTTCATAAATTTGTTTATATATTAACCACATGACCTGGCTTTGGTGAAGCATATCAAGTCAAATACAAGCTGGTAAAATTACTTGCTATGTGGAAGCCTATAATAAAAATATAAATAGAAGTGGTTATTTTCTAAAAGAAATGACTAAACAATACATATTTTAGAAAAATATGCTTGGATTAATAGACTGAAAGTTGCATTAAGATGGGAATAACTAAGCAGCAGAATAAAGTTAGTCTTCTGATGATTCACTGTGTGTTGATTGATCCATGCTTAGCAAAGTTACATCATTTGTTTCATTTCTGGGCATCACTCAGTGGAACAAGTGAATTCTGTAGCTGTATCCTCTCATAAATCTTGGACACAGTAAAATGTCTCCATAAAGATTTGGCCTCTTATTTTTAAATCATTTTCCCATGATTTTCTATTTTTAAAGGAGTTTGATTTGGATGGGAGACAAAAGGAAAAACTGCATTTGGAATAAGCACAGGAATAAAAGTGCCACTGCGCAAGTGGTTTTAATCTGGTCTTGACTATAGTACAAGTCCAAAATAGTAAACAGGGATGGAGGTGTCTGTCAGGATTAAGAACTGGAGTGAAATACATGATCACTCCGCCACAGTAAAGATGCATAAATTGTTCATTGCTGTGTAAGTCTCATCTCAAGTTAAGACTCAAACTGCCTCATTTTTGTCACAACTAGGGGAAACTTTAAAGTGAGTATCTGCAGTTCCTATTTCCTTGAGTTACTTGTCACCTGCTACATGAATGAGCTCTAGTCTAAAGTTTTATTTCAGTCTGTTATAAGCAGGTGGTAACAACTCTCAAAGCAAAAAACAAAAAAAAGTTCAGTTTTCTCTTTCTTGTTTTTAGTAGATGCACAAAGAACTTGTACTGAAGATGCTGTGACCTTTTATTATTTAAAGTACTTCCTTTTCAAGTTTTTTTTTTTTTTAGTTGAGCGTTTGCTTCCATTGCACTTTATTATCAGCCCAACTCTTGGTTAGCTTGTTGTCTTCCCATACAGTATAGTAAATGTGGTTGAAATTATTGTAATGGCACAGTATACTACATCTCTTTTTTTTTTCTGTTCTTTTTTTGTCTGCTTGTCTGTGCGTCTGTCTCGTCTACGAGCGTCACTCTGTGTTTTCTTGTTGCTCAGGAAACAGTTTGTTCTTTGAGGTGAAATATTCCATTCTTCTATTTGCAGTCAATTGGCAAACACACTGTAAGGGTTTTCCCCTGATAATGAATGGGCAAATTAGAAGAAGACCCTTTTAATTAGATTTTTTACCACCAGATATATAATTTTTCTAAAAAGTGGAGCAAAAATCCCCATCTGTTCACTTCCTACAAATACGGAAGATTATCAACCACAAATCTTGAGAAAGTCGGCGAGACATATTTGTATCTGGCAAGAATTTGAACAAACCACTCCTGCTTCTGCTGATAGTTGTGTTTCTTTCTTTCTTCTGTCTCAGTGGGACACTAGTAATTTTTATTTGAAAGCCGAGTAGTATAGAGGTGGGGATAACATGGAATGGTCATGGGGATGGACTCAAACCCCAAACTAAAGGGTTGGTGATGTTCAGACTTTGTTCATGGTGCCTGCCACAACAGTTGAACAACTTGTCACCTGATGGAGGCTGGTTTATTGATCTTTTTATAGTTACTAATGCGCATGCTCCAAGTCCTTGTAGTCTAGATAGATCCATGCTTACTTTGGGTTCATTGAAATACACCTAGTCTAAACAGTGTTCATATTTACTTCTATTTCAACTGTGTTCTG